GAGCTCTCCCTGGAGCTTTGTCCTGTCCAGGTGAGCACCCCCAGCTCCACAGGAGGTTTCCATGAACTGAGCACCTGCCCCAGAGTATTTTTGGCTTCCTGTTGACCCCCCCCGAGATGTCAGGAGTGCTTTGCTCGGCTCCTCTGGGTGCCCTCCCGGCCGGAGCCGTGCCCGGGTCGGGCCCTGCCCAGCCCGGGGAGCTGCTGTGGGGCGGGGGAAGCCGCCCAGTGGGATTTTCCCGGAGAGCAGAGTTGAACGCTCTCAGCAGAGGCTCTGGGGGTCGGATCCTGTGAGCAGGCTGATGGCAGAGCCCGGCTGAGCCGGGCAGCTCCGGGCTGGTGCTGGACCATATTTGGGAAGGTTGGCGGTGCAGATCTGGGAGCGCAGCGCTGGTGCCGAGCTCGGAGCTGCCGGGGCAGCGCCGGGGCTGCTGCTCATCTCCCCAGCAACCCCGCAAACACAACATTGCCCAACGCTGCCGGCTATAATTAACCGTGCAGGCCGGCCCCGCAGGAGCCGCTGGCCTGCGCTCCCGCACCGCCCGGCGGGATAATGTTCCCAGAGCAGGCAGGAACGTTCCCCGCGGCCCCGGGAACGTGCGGACTGCCGCAGGCCGAGCTGCTCCTCGGGCACTCTGAGCTGGGCCATTTCAACCAGCCCTGGTCACTCGGCCCAAAGGCAGCCGGACAGAAACGCTGGGCTTTGGAAAGGCTCCCAGAGCAGCGCTGGGTGCTCGGGAGAGGCTGCGGCTGTGGGAGAAGGGAGGAAGGCTCGTCCCCTCCTCCCTGCAGGGCCGCTCGGATTAATGTCAAACTGGCGCTGGGAGATCCTGTTCTGATGCCTGCTGGAGGCACCAGATCACGCCTCAATCCTGAGCCAAGAATAGATCCCAGAATTCTTCATCATCCACAGCCTATTCTGGGCCTGCAGCCTCCCACCCAGCGTGTGCCCGCTCCTGCTCCCGCTGGGAATCCTGCTCAGGCTCGGCTCCACTCCCTGCTCCAAAGCTCTGCAGCCTCCCTGTGCTGGGGGGCTGCACACACACACACAACAGGGGAATCCTGCAATGGCTTGCATTGAAGGGGTCCCTAATGCCACCCAGTGCCATCCCTGCCACGGACAGGGACACCCTGTGAGCCCAGGCTGCTCCCAGCCCCGTCCAGCCTGGGCTCAGCCCATCATGTTGGTGCTGGAGGAGATCCCAGCAGCTGTTCCCAGTGGGATCCAGCTGCGCTGTGTCACAACCAGGGCTTGGAATCGTGGGCTGGGGTCCCTGTCCCAATCCCTGACCCTGTCCCTGTCCCAGTCCCTGTCCCTGCTGGGAGAGGGGAGCTGGCAGCTCCTGGCCCTGCCGCTGCCAAGCCCAGAGTTCAGCTGTATTTTAGCGTGTTCCAGAGCGCTGGAGCAGAGAAGAAGGAAGCTGTTCCAAGGTTGGATCTCTAGAAATCAGCTGGAGGAGTCAGGCTGTACAACCCCTGCGCTCCTGGGGGTGGGAATAGGCTCTGGGGAAAGCTGGAAGATTTGGGAATTTGCTTGGATGGTTTCGTCCTGTCCCCAGAAGCCACAATAAGCCACAAAAATGCTTTATAAGCCCATTTCCCTCCAACAGACGAAACAGGGAAGTGAAACTCCTGAGGTTGTGCTATTTTTTCCTGCATTAATGGCCACCAAAGTGCTAATTACCACACTGGGTGCCGTATACATTCTTGGAGTCCTTCCCCTGCAGCCCTCACACTGGAAAAGCGTCCATAAACGAGGAATGTTACCCACTCAGTCATGGGGGGACACTTTTGGTGGCATTTCTGTGGCAGCACTGCCATGGCCAAAGCCCGGCCTGTGGCAGGGGGTGTCATGGGATGAGCCTTAAGCTCCCTCCCAGCCCCGACCGTTCCAGGATCCCGTGATTCCGTCCCCCTGCGAGCAGGGCAGTTCAAACCCGTCCCTCTTTTCCCATGGCAAAGGCCACGTTTTCCCTGTAAACTTTAACCACGTGCAGGAATCTTTGCAGGGTCAAGGCCTGGGCGAGAGCAGTGCGGAGCAGCTTAGTGGTAAATCTCATGGCAGGAATTCACTTTGGAATGAAGGATTGGATCGCTTCCTGCTGGTTCCTGGAGGATGCTGGCACTTGGAAAGCAGTTTATCCACGAGACAAAGACAAATCCGGGCACGGCCACAGCGGATCCAGGAGCCCAGGCTGCCAGCATGACTCAGAGATCCCTGCTCCCTCTGGCTCCTTTTTTCCTCCCTTCTCCGTGCTCATCCCCCCATCCCTGTCCCCACCCCACTCCCCTGACCCCCATCTCTGGGGTCCCCACTTGCGGTGACACCGGGGCCACCGCTGTCGCCGTGTGCCCCCAGCCTGGGGGTGCTGTCCTCGTGCTCCTCCTGCTCCCCCCGAGGCCGTGACCACCCCCGGCGGCCGCAGCTCGCCCACCCCGCCATCCCGAGAGCTGTCCCGGGGGCCGGGCCGCCCCACCGTTCCCCTGTCCCCGTGTCCCCATCGCCTCGTCCCAGTGTCCCCGTGTCTCTGTCCCCGTCACATCCCCGTCCCACCAACTCCCTGTCCCCAGTCCCCGCCCCCGTGTCTCCATCTCCGCCCCCGACTCTCCGTCCCCTTGTCCCCATTCCCGTCCCTGTCCCCTGTCCCCGACCCATCCCCATTCCCGTCCCCGTGTCCCCATCCTCATCCCCCTGTCCTCCTTCCCTTTCCCTGCCCACCATCCCCATTCCCGTCCCTGTTCCCCCATCCCGTCCCACCGTTCCCGTCCCAAGTCGCGATCCCTGTCCCACCATCCTCATCCCCGTCCTGCGGTGTCCCCCATGTCCGCGTCCCAATGCCCGTGTCCCCTGTCCCTGTGTCCTCATCTCC